CCATAAGTTAGTTTTGCCTATTCTTGAATTTCATATAAATGCTACCATACAATATGTCCTCTTTTCTCTGGCCGTTTTTGTTTGGCTTAATGGTTTTAAAATTTTATGTATTTATGTATAGTACTGTGACTTGAACCCAGGACATTACACATGCTAGGTAAGCACTAAGCTACATCCCCATTTTTTTTCTTTCTTTCTGTGTGTGTGTGTGTGTGTGTGTGTATTATCAGGGATTGAACCCAGGGGCACTCTACATCCCCAGACATTTAAAACTTTTTTTTTTTTAATTTTGAAATGGTCTTGCTAAGTTGCCAGTGTTGGACTCAAACTTGGAATCCTCCTGGCTCAGCCTCCTGAGTCAGTGAGATTATAGGTGCATACCACTGTTTCCAGCCCCAGTCCTTTGTTTTATTAATATTTTATTTTGAGACAAAGTCTCACTGAGTTAACCATGCTGGCCTTGTACTTGTGGTTCTCTGACCTCAGCCTCCTGAGTAGCTAGGATTACAAGTGTACACCATTGCATCCAGCTCTCATTTTATTTGTTTAGCATTTTTCTCTGAGGGAGATAAGGACTTTTACTATATTTTACTGAGGCAAGGTCTCACTATGTTGCCCAGGTTGACCTTGAGCTCCTAGGCTCAAGTGATCATCCTGCTTCAGCCTCCCCAGTAGCTGGACTGTAGCACACACCACTGTGTCCAGATAGGCATTTATTTTTATCACCTGCTTTTCTGTTTTTCTTCTCTTTTATTCACAGTGCTGACAATCAAACCCAGGGCCTCATGTATACAAGTGCTCTATCACTGAATTACACCCTTCTGCTCTACAGGCTTTTAAAATAGCTGTGTCACTAGCTCCATTATACAGATCTTAAAATCAAAGTGGTTTCCTGAGTCTCTAATTGTCAATTTGTCTCAAGTTTGAGATCATTAATGTTCAGAGAATGAGAAAAGTATTGAAACTTTAAAAGAAATGTGAAATAAATTAAATGTAGAAAGTAGTAGAACTCAAAATTCATTTACTATTTATGAGAATCTAGATTAAATCAGGTACTGTACTAAGTGATGAGATGATAAACATGAATAAAACATGCTCCTTACCCTCAAGGAACCCACAGAGAGCAAGGTGGGGGAGAAAGGAGAGTTCATTACACCATCCTAAATGGCCTAATAGAAGATGCCCAAGTATGAATGGTTTAGGGGTTCTGTGGTGGCAACCCTTGCCTCTGGATTGAAGGAAAGTGGTCAGAAGAGAGAAAAACCTGGGCAAAAGAGGAAGCATCAGAGAGGAGATCTAGCTTTTTGAAAGAACAGCACTTTGACCAGAAAAATGAAAAGTGAGAGTATTTTAGGCAGAGGGTATTTTAGGCAGAAGGAACAACTTATGTAAAGGCAGAAAGATGGATAACAACTTAAAGAACTCAGAGAAATTTAAGACCAATAGTTTTAGAAAATAAGATCAACAAATAAGCAAGAATGTGACCTATAAAAATGAAGGAAATTTATTCTGTGTAATTTGAATTGTAATGCATTCTGCTGTCTATATAACAAATTAAAATTTAAAAAAATGAAATAAAAAAATTTATTTTGTACTTGACTCGAGTAAAAGACTACATAAGACACAGCTTTTCGTCATGAAACTAAACTCACCTCTATGTTACAGTGTTTTTATGTTTGTGTTTTCTCCTGTGAAAGAATTTTAATAAAGTACATATGTTGTCTCTTTCTGGTTTTCAGAACACTTTGGCAGTTTAACTTCAAGAGGACAAATTTCCAAGCTCATGGTTCTGTCATCTCTGTGAAGCTCTAGTTAGGTGCCTGTTTGAGCATCTCACCTCTCATTTGTAGTTTACCCCTTGTCTGGTAGATTGACAGGAGAACAGTTTCAAACAAGAACTGATGGGGAGTTTCTAGTAAAGAAAGTATATAATGAGAATTCTTGTCTCTAGAAAAATGTCACTGTAATGACAGCTAAAGTAATGAAAGATAGAAATATGAATAATTGAAAATATATCACTAATAATAATTACATGAAATAGTTAATCTTTTTTTTTCCACCAAACTTTTAAGTTGAGATTCCAGAAAGAAGGAAAATGAACCAGATGAGATACAGTTTGGCAAAGATTGTACTCTTCTGAAATCTGATTCTCTATATGAACACAGGGAGGCACAACAAGGTCTGTAATCTATAATTGGGTATGCAATTATCTCATTATCTGCATCTGGATTTTTCTTTTCCTGAATCCTTTTTCTTTTCTTTTTTTTTTTTTTGCAGTTCCTTAAACATTTTAACTGCCGTAAACTGTAAGGCAGGGACCATATGAGGCAGTGCTTACTCAAAAATTATCAAATATGTTGAGACAGGAAATGCATAGAAGTGATAAGGAGAATTGAAAAAGCCATTGCCTTTATTTACAATTCCTGGTTCTGCTTAGAGAGTAAAACACTGTTTAGAAACATGGAGACAAATATGTTAGAGATTTGACGTGGGTGGGAAGCACCTAGTAGACTTGTAATAACTTCAAGACCAGTTGGTCAGTAGCAGTCACCAGGGCTCACTTCTCATGATTATGTTGATTTTCCTAGGTTACACCAGCACCTGGAGCTATGTACCCATCTTCCTGGCAAAGTTACTCTTTTGTATTTTTGAAGAATAAAGGAAGAGGCTTATCCTCTGATTCCATACACATTTATTTCATGTTGACTGAGATGAGGACTGAGAAATTTCACTTCTGTTATCCCTGATTGATGAATGGATTGATTATGGCTAACTGGGCCTAAGTTGAAAAGTTTTGGAGGCTAATTAATTCCAGACTCACTGAAAATTAAACACAATACCTAATGTGAGCTGACAGCAAGAAAAGCTTACCTTCACAGGTGATATTTTTGTCACCTCTGACTTAAACAACTGGTAGTAGAAATAATTTCACTCAAAGACTGAGCCTGCACAGAAATGAAAACAAGCTAGGAGATAGCAGAAAAAAACATTTATGGGTACTATAGAAGATAGGGGTTTCTCTATCCAAGGTAGTAAAGGAGAAAGTAACTTCCACTGTGGGAAATAAAAAGTAGTGAGTTTTGGAAACAGACATGGTCCCAAGTCTCTTCTGTCACTTCCTATAAGCTTATGTTTCTTAGTTTTTAAAACAAAAGCACTAATACATGTTTAAGAGGATCTTCTGTTTACAGTACTATGTAAAATAATGGATGTAAGACATCTTTTCCACTTTGTAGAATTTCTGGAACCTGGTAGATACAAAGCATATCAGGAAAATGTTCCTTGCTCTCTTTTACAGCTTTTCTTTTCCTAGTCCACCTGTAGGACCCTGGATGTCTTTGAGACCCTTGTAAGGGATCTTTGAGTTCCAAACCTTTTTCATGGAACTGGGAGTGCAAGTCACTGATAGAGCACATGCTTAAAATGAAGGAGGTCCTGAGTTCTGTCCCAGTACCACATTCACACAATTTTCATGTTAAGACCTCATTTGCAACTGAAAAAAAAATACCTCATTTGTCTCTATTTATGTATTTGTTTATGGTACAAGGGATTGAACCCTGGGGCACTTAACCGCTGAGCCATATCCCTACCCCTTTTTAAAATTTTTTACTTAGAGATAGGATCTCACTGAGTTGCTTAGGGCCCCATCAAGTTTCTAAGGCTGGCTTTGAACTTTCAATCCTCCTGTCTCAGCCTCCTGAGCCGCTGGGATTCCAGGCATGTACCACTGTGCTTGGCTCTCATTTGCCTTTAATTTTCATCCTTGAGTACATATTGCTTTTTTGTACAGTGTGTGACAAAATGGGGAATATATATAAAGCATAGTGCTACCTAACCAGAATGACAATTCCTGGGAAAAGCACTTTACTTTTGAGTTGAAAGCTTAACTAACCCCTATGTTATTCTACTGGACATTTTTTTCCTTGAAAGAGCAAACTATTTAGTTATTCAGACCTGGGTACAGGTTTTGGTAGGTATTTCTGGAGGAAAAAAAAAAAAACTAACAAAACTGCTCCTTCCATGAAAACAACTGATAGTGTTTTCCACCAATGAAAATTGGAGCCTCTAATTGAAAATTAAATTTTTGGAAAACTTGTATTCACCACTTGGTAGCTCCCCAAAACTTTTCTGATGAGCTCAGATGATATTAACAAATGTGGTTTGTTTTATATTGAATAAAGAAATGTGCCAGCATTTGGAAGATTTATATAACTAAGTAAACCATATTTTCCAAGTGACCAACTTGCAACATTACAAAATAATGAGTGGGAAAAGGCTCATTTGAAGTGTAAGATAAACCAATAGAGTTCAGTATTACAGAGTATGAAAACTTCATTGTCAGACCTTCAGATTTCACATCGCAACCTACCTTTTAAAGATATGTCACTGGAGTCTTGGGACAGTATTAAATAACCACATAATCTGAAAAGGTTTTAAAATACTTCTTCCTTTTATAACATGTCCATGAGGTTGAATTTTCTTCATAGATTTCATTCAACCTAAAGCATATGGCAGTAAGTTTGGTACAGAAGCAGGCATGAGTACCCAGCTGTCCTTAGTTAGCTAGACATGAAGGACTTCGGGGAAAATGTAAAACAACACCACACTTCCTAGAGTTTTTTTGGAAGATATAGTTATTTGTCATATAATATGTTAATGAGAGGGTTTTATTAGTTTTATATAAAATTTTTTCTTTTGGTACCAGGGATTGAACCCAGGGGTCCTTAACCACTGAACTATATCCCCAGCCCTTTTATCTTTTTCAGTCAGAATAGTTATATAAATATTTATTTTGAAAGTAGTACTTAAGAAAAAACAATGTGATTTAGATTAAAAGCTACAAGATGTATTGTTTCAGGTAGGTGTTATTACTATCTATATATTCACTGCATTTATTAAGCCAAAAACTTGAGGAAACTTCAAGCTCATAAGTCAATGATGTATAAAAACCCAACCAGGATGGACAATGTGTGTTCCAATTTAGAAGGGGACAACTCAGCTCCTTGGTGATGTCTCAGGGAGCTCTTATGCTCTACCGAACATAAGGCTTTCTTCCTGTAAACCTGAATGTGACCTTCTAGAGTCTCTGGTTGTAGCTTCTTTAGTCTCCTGATTCGAATGGTGTGCTGCTTTCTTGCCTACAAGGTGAGTCAAGCTTCCAGGTTCGCTCTTATAGGTCTCCCTTATCTACAAGTGATGCTCAGGAGAGTCAACCAATCCTGAAGGTGGGGAAAGCTGTTTAAAGGAGTCCCCATTCCCTTACTTGTACTGAGGAAACTGTTTTCACTTTAAGGATGGTAAGTCTTAAAAGATTGTGGCCAAGAAGATGTCTATAGTGACTTCTGAGAATTTTATCCCCAATAGGCAGCTGGCTGGCTACTTGTCTTTTATTACATTTCTAACAGTTGCTCCATTTCCTCCAGACCCAGCTCTCTTTTGTGTTTTATTTACAGACAGGGTCTCTCTGAGTTGCTAAGTGCCTCATTAAATTGCTGAGGCTGGCTTTGAACTCGGAGCCTCCCAAGTCTCTGGGATTACAGGCATGTGCCACCACACCCAGTGCATGAGTATTTCTAAAAGCCCTTCATTTTAATTTTAAATACAATAAATATTGATAGATAAGCCCATATAAACAAAAATTCTTACTGGTTATCAATAATTTTTAAGAGCTAAAGGGGTCCCAAGACTAAAAAGCTGAAAAACACTGCCCTGGTCTACATTCTGTGCCACTACTATGTTACTTGACTCTCCTAGAGCAAAGCCAGGGGTGCCATTGGTTATTCCTGAGATGTTCTCTGTCCCCCCCACCCTTTTTTTAAGAAAACTTTTGACTAATTTACTATTTGGATGAGTCCTTGACGAAAATACCATGTTCCCATAGTGATCTTGGCTTTTGCAAAATTTTCTATGAATATGGGCTCAAGATTATTTCCATTTTCCTTTGTGAATTCAGGATAAGTCATACTATAACTTTGCTGGATTACCTCAGGATTAAGGTTTTGAATTTTCTCCTTTGATTTGTCCTGTTATTATTGCTGATTTTTCTTCAATATTATTCTGTCAGGTTCTGAAATTTTTAGTAAAACTGCTTATAAACCAACCAGGTCAAATTTTATGGGGAATCAGATAAGGAACTAGCATTTATCAATGCTTATTAAAATTTATCTCAGGAGCAGTTTTTAAAATAGATTCACAAAGAGTGTCCTCAAAATAGTCAAATGAAATAGGTGAGCAATTAAGCTTCTATCTGAGTATATTATAAAATTTCTGCTGACTGGTCCTGTATCTTGTCTCTACCTCTGAGCTATCATTCAGGTATTTGGCTATACTCTGACAGAATAATAACAATCTGTAGTTGAAATAGTTGGACTATAGTACTTGCTGATAAAAGACTAAAACCATTTTAGCCATTAGGAAAATTACTCTGGCTGAAGTTTCGTATTGCCAGAATTTTTTAAAATAGATCTTTTTGGGGAAACTTGACAATAACCATTAAAATGAATCATAATGACATCAAAATATTTCTGCAAAACATTTGATATAAAATGCTTTTAAAAATTTTAGCACCTGGCTTGGTGGCGCATGTCTATAATCATAGCAGCTTAAGAGGCTGAAACAGAAGGATCGTGATTTCAAAGCTATCCTCAGCAGTGGCGAGTTGCTAATCAACTCAGTGAGACCCTGTCTCTAAATAAAATACAAAGTAGGGCTGGGGATGTGGCTCAGTGGTTGAGTGTCCCTGAGTTCAATCCTTGGTACCAAAAAAAAAAAAAAAAAAAAGTTTTAGCACTGGGATTTGTAGCTGATACATAAAATGTAATGTGAAGAACATGTGTTAGATATTAATGCTGCTAATTTGTACTATGCTTCCAAATTCTATAGATGCAACTCTACTGCCAACTGTTCTCTTCAAACTGGTTTTCAAATATTTTTGGTGCTTCAAATTTAGTTTCTTTACTATCTGAAACTGATTCATGTGCATGAGATTGTCAAGGTTTAATTAAAATTGATAGAATTTTATTGTAGTTATCTTGAAGATGCTTGAAACTGGGAAGGAAATGATAGGAAACTTCTGGGGCTGTGGTTAGATTACTTTGGCAAAGTGAATTTCAAAAAATTATATGGCAGGTTTCATAAGGATAGGAATTCTGTCATAGGCTTAGCACTTATTGATCAGCTAGTATGTGACCATCAGTGATCTAGTGCTGGAAATACACAGGGAAAAATATCACTGTATTCTTGAAGTTTATGTTCTAGTGAGGAAAGACAGATAATAAATATAGTAATAGGCAGGGTGTGGTAGATCACACCTGTAATTCCAGCTACTCAGGGTGCTGAGGCAGGAAGATCGAAAGTTCAAGGCTAGCACTGACAACTTGGTGAGACCTTGTCTCAAAATAAAAACTGAAAAGGGCCCGGGATGTAATTCAGTGGTATAGTGCCCTTGGATTCAATCCCTGGTACCACAAACAACAACAACAACAAAATTAAACGGGCAAAAGACTTTTATAAAAGATATACAAATGGCCAGTGAATACATGAAAAGATGCCTAACTTTATGAATAACTGAGGAAAAAGTTAAAACCACAGTAAGATACCACTTTAGCAATAGTGACATCATGTCAAAAAGACAACAATAAATGTTTGCAAGGGTATAGAGAAAATGGAGCCCTCATGCTGGAGAGATGTAAAATCACGCAGCCAATTTAGAAAATGCTTTGGCAATTTGTGAAAAGGTTAAATGGTAGCTAACATATGACTTAGCAATCTCACTCCTAGATAAGGTTTTTTGTTTTTGTTTTTTAACTAGGGATTGAACCCAGGGGCACTCTATCACTGAAGTACAGCTACATCCCTTTTTATTTTTTATTTTTTTAAATAAATATATATATTAGTTATAGGTAAATATAATATCTTTATTTATGTATTTTATTTTACCTTTTATTTTATTTTATTGAACCCAGTGCCTCATGTGTGTTAGGCAAGTGCTCTATCACTGAGCCCCAGCCCCAGCCCTCCTTTTTATTTTTGACAGGTCTCATTGCTGAGGCTGGCCTTGAACTTGAAATCCTCATGCCTAAGCCTCCAGAGTCAGGATTATAGGCATGCACCTTTGCACCTTATGCAAAGATTTTTATATGAATGTTAAGAGCAGCAACATTCACAATAGGCAAAAAGTGGAAGCTACTCAAATGTCAATCAATTGGTGAATGGACAAACAAAATGTAGTATATCCATATAATGCAATATTATTTGACAGAGAAAGTAATAAAGTACTGAGATGTATAAATGAACCTCAGAAATGTTATGCTAGTGAAAGAAGCTAGACACAAAATAAATACTGTATGATTCTACTTCTATGAAAAACTGGAATAGATAAACATACAGACCAGGAAGTAGATTCGTAGTTGTCAAAAGCTAGGATGAGACAGGAATAAGGATTGACCCTGTTCTCTATAGAAACCAGAAACATGACCATTAAAAAAAAAAAAGAAAAAAAAAGATTTTTTTCTTCACAAAAAGCTCTATGTGTAACATTTATTCATTAACCTTTTATTAAGCAATTCATTGCCTGTCTCCTTGATACCAGGACCCATTCCTGAGATAAGAACAAAGTCCATTCCTATAAGGAAATTATATCATCTCCAGGGAGACAGATCCTAACCTAGTAATTAGAAGATTATTTAACAATACTTTTCATATGTGCCTGAAGGACCAATTGGCTCTGAGACCATCAGTAACATGATCTTTAATCAAGGAGGTCAAGAAAGACATCCCAGAATTGGAGGCATCAAACAAGGAGAGAAAGAGAAGAGCATGGGGCACACAGAGCCAATACATTTTGAATTGTTTCCTGGAATAAATGATTACATCCATACCCATGAGCAGTCTTCATTTATTGGAGAATACAAAATTGGCCTGGGATTGTAGCTTAGAGGTAGAGTGCTTGCCTAGTATGTGTGAGGCACTGGGTTTGATCCTCAGCACCACATAAAAATAAAAAATATAGGCATTCTGTCCATCTACAACAAGAAAAAAAAATTGTTTTTAATTGTCAAGTTAGGGGCTAGAGTTATAGCTCAGCAGTAGAGCTTGTATCTGTGAGGTACCGCATTCCATTCCCAGCTCCACTTATAAATAAGCAAATAAAATAAAGGTCCATCAACAACTAAAAAAAATGTTTTTTAAAAAATTATCAAGTTTTTCTTTTTTAGGGGTGGGGTGGTACTGGGGATTGAACTCGGGGTACTCAACTACTGAGCCACATCCCTAGCCCAATTTTTTGTATTTTATTAGAGACAGGATCTCACTGAGTTGCTTAGTTTCTCGCCATTGCTGAGGCTGGTCAAGTTATTCTTATTGATCAATGATATGTGGAATAGGAAAAAAACAAATTTCTATAAAACAGAGGCAGATTTTTAAAATAAATTTTTATATAAATAATAAAAGATAACTTTCAGTTTTAGTAATAAAAAAATTTCTAGGTTGTCGATCATCTTTTTTTTTTTTTCCAGCAACAACAGAAACTTTATTAAACCCAGTACAGACAGAATTCATCTTGGAGTTCAGCGATATGTTCAAGGAATCACTGAACTTTAATGGTAGACAGCTACCATAATCTCTTTGCTTGCTACTTCACTAGTGAATAACAACTGCAGACTCCACAGCTTCTGGTGAAGGCATTTGGCAAATTCTTTTCACAAACAACACCATCAGGATTGTTTCATCCAATTTTACGCAGCAGTTGTCTCAAAACCTGGGACCTAAATGTTCATAAAACAAGGGAACACGAGATGGACCAAGAGAGACTCTCCTGAGACCAATGGTACAAAAATTCAGGCAAGCAATTCAGGAAAGTGGCCCTTTCATAAGCTGACAAAAATGAACCTCTTGAATACAAAATTCCAAGTATCAGAAGTAAAAAATAACAAAACCAGGGAGTTAAGCAAAAGCTATGTGACTTACTCTCTGAATGTAGAATCACTGTACTTAGCAGAAGATAAAGGGTGAATTGCTATCCAATCTGCGGTTCACTGTCCCCAAGTACCGTTAGAAGTTAGGGACAATGCTAAAGAAAAAAGGACAGGCATCACCAAAGACCCATCAAGCCAAGCCAGTGGTTCCCTCCATGAGGGTGTGGTCTCTCCATGATGTCAGAAAAGACTAAAACCATAACTGGGATTTGCCACACTGGGATCCTATGGTTTTTCTGATGTGATCAATCATCTTTTATTCTTACTGGTAGGTATGACACCATTTTAATGTGTACATTTCCTATTTCGTTTATATGTTAATGTGCTTGACTATGTTTAGAATGAAATACAGAACCATAAACTAAGGAAAATATATCTTTCTGTTCAACATGAAGCACACTATACTTCTTTATGCACTTTTATGCTAAGTCAGGCTGGAGACATAGCTCAGTGATAGTACACTTGCATAGCATGTGTGAGGCCCTGGATTTGATGCCTAGAACTACAAAATTATGATGATGATGATGATGATGATGATGATGAAGAAGAAGAAAGAGGAGGAGGAGGAGGAGGAGGAGGAGGAGGAGAAATCATTCAGAATAGGTACAAATTAGGGTTTTATCTGTTGGATGGATAAATGTGTAACCTACAAAAGTACTGCTGTGGTTTAAATGTTTGTCCCACAGGATTCATGGGTTGGAAACTTAATCCCCAAAGTCATATGTTAATGGTATTTGGAAGTGGGGCCTTTGGAGGGAGGGCTCTGTCCTCATGAATGAATTAATCCACTCAGGGGCTAATGGACTAATGGATCATCAAGGAGTGGCTTTGTTATACAAGCATGTTCTCTTGGCAAGTTTACTCTCTCTTACCATGTGATGCCCTGCACAATCTGCTCTGGACAGCAAGAAGGTCTTCCTGAGGTGAGGCTCCTTGATCTTGGATTTCCCAATCTCTAGAATTACAAGGAATTTATTATTTTGGGGGGAGTGGGGTTTATCAGGGGTTGAACCCAGAGGATGGCATTCCAGCCTTTTTTACTTTATTTTAAGATAAAGTCTCACTAAGTTACTTAGGGCCTTGCTAAGTTGCTGAGACTGGCCTCAAACTTGCAATCTTCCTGCCTCAGACTCTCAAATTGCTGGGATTATACCACTATACCCAGAAGAATTCATTCTTCATAAATTACCCAGTCTCAAGTATTCTGTTATAGCAACAAGAAACAGACTAAGAAAAATACTAATCCTGGAGTCCTTTTCAAATGGGTGAATTTCCTGCTTTAGTTCTCCCTTTTTAATTGCGATAAAATTCACATAACATAAAATTCACTATAGAAACCATTTTATATAATTGGGTTTTGTTTATTTTGAGAAGGGGTTTCACTCTCTTTCCTAGACTGGGCTTGAACTCCTGATCCTCCTGCCTCAGCCTCCCTAATAGCTAGGATTTCAGGTACACCCTATTATACCTGTAATCTGCCCTAGAACTATTTTAAGTGTATAGTTTTGTACTTTGTAAGTCTACAGATTTGTGCAACCATCACTACTATCAAGTTCCAAAACATTTACATCACCCCAAAAGGAAACCCTTTTGCAGTGATTAAGCAGTCATTCTCTACTGTCCTCATGCTCCCAAACCCTGGAAACCACCTGTGTGCTTTCTGTCTGTTTTGGTTTGCCTATTCTGAATTTTTAATATGAATGGAATCATACTATGTTCTTTTTGTTTATCTGCCTTCTTCTTTTTTTTTTTTTTGTACCATAGATTGAACCCAGGGGCACTTACCACCGAGCCACATGCCCAGCACTTTTTAAATTATATTTTATTTTGAGACAGGGTCTCTCTAAGTTGTTTAGGGCCTTACAAAGTTGCTGACGCTGGCTTTGAACTTGTGATCTTCCTGCCTCAGCCTCCAGATTTGCTGGGATTATAGGCATGTACCACCATTCCTTAGAGAATGAATCAGGATGTACTCCATTCTGCTCTTATTTTTTGGAAGAGTTTGAAAATGATTGGTGTTAATTATTTTTTTAAACCTTTGATATAATTCACCAGTGCAGCTATCTGTTCCTCACCTTTTTGCGGGAGTTTCAAACAGCAATCAAATTTCTTTACTTATTAGATTTATTAAAACTTTCTATTTCTTCTTGAGCCAATTTTGGTACTTTTTGTATTTCAAAGAATTGCCATGTAAAAATTATAAGAGAACCTAGATAAATTTTTTAAAAATTTCTATGGTATTGTAGTAATGCCCCCACTTTTATGTCTGATTTTATTAATTTGAGCCTACTTTCTTTTTATCTTGGATATTTACATGAAAGTTTATTTTTTTTTTTTTTAAATCTTTTCCAAGAGCCAAATTGGTTTCCTTGATTCTCTGGTGTTTTTTCCATTTTGTTTATCTCTGCTCTAATCTTTACTATTCCATCCTTCAGCTTTTGTTTAGTTTGCTTTCATTTATCTAGTTTCCAAAGGTATACAGTTAGGTTATTGATTTGAGATTTTTATTTCTTTAGCATCTTAAAATAATTATAGAGGTCTTCTTTTTTAATATAGGCATTTGCAGCTATAAATTTTCCTCTGAGGATTATTTAGCAGCATCACATAAGTTTTAGAGTGTTGTATTTTCATTTCCATTCACCTCAAAGTATTTTCTAGTTTCTCTTGTGATTTATTCATTGACCCATTCATTGTTTCAGAGTGTATTGTTTAATTTTCACATATTACTTTCCAGAATTTCTTCTGTCATTTATTTCTACTTTCAGTCCATCATAGTCAGTGAAGATACATGTTTGATTTCAAAAATTTTTAATTTTGTATTGTTTTGTGGCCTAACCTATGGTCTGTCTTGAGGAATGTTTCATATACACTTGAGAAGAATGTATTTTCTTTTTGGGGATGGAGTATTCTATAGATGTCAGGTCGAGTAAGAATAGGGTGGTGTTTAAGTTTTTTTGTTTATTGGGGGATCTTTGGTCTAATCATTCTGTTATTGAGATTGGTGTATTGAAATCTCCAACTATTACTGAAGCTTACTTTTTTTGTTCATTATACAAAAATAATGGAGGCAAGAAAAGAGTGAGATAGTATATTCAAGGTGTTCACAAAAAAATACTGCTAAATAAGAGTTGTATGTCTAGCGAAACTTTTTAAAAATAAAGGCCAAATAAAGGCATTCCCAAGGTAAACAAAAACTGAGAGAATTGTGAGAAGACCCACCTTATAATAATACTGAAGAAAGTTCTTTAGACTGAAAGCAAGTGACCCTAAGAGTAATTCAAATTTATACACACATACATAAATAGTGGTAAATATAATTAGGTAATTATAGGTAAATGCCTATTTCTTCTACTTGATTAATTTAAAAGAATATTATACAGTTGTATTGAAAGAGCTACCCACAGAAATGCATATTGGTTAATAACAGCATAAAGGAAGTGTGTGGGGGCAAAGATATATTGAACTAAAGAAATTACACCAGGTGGAAACAAAAGTCCACATGAACTAGTGAGGAAAACTAGAAATGGTAAAAAAAGAGGGTAACATGACAAATTATAAAATATATGCAAGTGTGTGTATATGTATTTATACCTTTTCTTCTCTAAGCTTCTTTAAAAGACATAAAATTATATAAAGCAATAATTTAAAAATGATATATTACTGGGTTTGTAATATACATAGATAGTATAAATAAGTTCGTATAAATCAAAAGGAGATTTGATTAATTGAGATACATATGGTAATATAGCTGGGCACAATGGCGCCTGCCTATAATCCCAGCAGCTCGGGAGGCTTAGGCAGGAGGATCATGAGTTCAAAGCCATCCTCAGCAAAAGTGAAGCGCTAAGGAACTCAGTGAGACTCTGTCTCTAAATAAAATACAAAATAGTGCTGGAGATGTGGCTCAATTAATTTAAAGTATATTCTTTGTTATATGTGTCCACTGAAGTCTCCAGTCCATTAGCTTAGTGATCATCTAGTGGTTTGGCACGGATTTCCTTAAATGTTTGGAGCTAAACAAAACAAAAAGCCCCAAAGACAAATGCATCCTCTTTTCAAACTGGTCCTGTGTTGGGGTACACCAGGACATAGCCAGGTCATTTACTTCCTGCTAGTAAGGCCTGGAGGTCAGCCAGTAGTGAGAGCTCAGGGTCTTCTTGGGTATTTTCTGAGCATGTGTCCAGCTCAAGGCATGCACGTGACTTCTAGATTCCCTGGAATACAAGGGAGCCTTTCAAAACATTTCTTCCCTGAAATATGTCCTTCTCTAGCCTTTTTCTTCCCTGGATTTTTAGTGTGTTTATTCTTTGTCCAACTGTATTCCTTTGCCACAGGAAGCAGTAGGTAATACATTTGCTTCTAAATGTTTTTGACAAATGTCACCCTGAAAGTGACCTCAATCCTGGGAAAGAACCAAGACAAATGAAAGCCCTTGAGCACATCCTTCATAGAGTTGTCCAGGTCAAAACATAGAACCATAATACCTTGAGAATAAGATCTGTGTTGTCCCTGAACCAGAAAAGTGGGCTTCTGACTTCAAGTCTGCCGCTGAGTTGTTCAACTGGAAATAGTAACTAGATAAATTAAAATGCCACAGAGCTCTCTTATAGAAATTTAGCTTTTTCTCTCCATTAAGCTTTCCTTTGGTTGTTATAAGTTTTGACTTAGATTCTAGAGTTCTGAAAAAGTTCTGAACTTGACCATTTTTACAAGCTTATTCATTGCTTTTGTGAAGGTACAAGATTCTGAAGATCTCTACTCAGCTATTTTTGCTGATATCTGTACTAAGGATGGAGTTGTATGTGGTATCATCCAATAAAGGGACAGTAGCATCTCATACCTATCTCATCAGATTTGGCTGAGAGTCTTGTGTAGTAGTGCACTCTTATAGCCAATAACCCATCAAGTCCACTTGCATGTACCCTACAACTTCCACACATGTGGATAAGGAGACATCCATGAGGACATTCATAACAAGACAGAAATTTTGTTTTTCTACCCTTTCTAAAAATATTGGGTGCAAAGGTCTACATCTTTGGCCCTTTGCTGAAGTCACCTAGGAGTTTAGTTATATGAATTATTTCCTTGTGAAGTACTTGAGAAATAATAGAGTTTAAATAACTACTCATTCTTTTTTTATTCTGGATAATTTTAACAAATCATCTGACTGTCAAGTCACCTCTAATAAAATATAAACTGAAAATAGACTTTTTTCTTCCTTGTCTAGACTACTTAATTTTGTTCTCCTTTGTGATTGTCTAGTTCCAAAAGGAGCAACATAGTGTGAAATTTGTGGGAAGGATGCTATTCAGAGTTTCATCTTATTATGAAATATCCCAGTGAAAACTCAGCAGAAAGAAGGTAGAAATTTCTAGAAGATGCTAAAAATGGAGAAAAATGGAGAGTTCATAGACATGATTTCTCTAAAATCAACTATTCAATTGGGTTAAAATTGAATAAATGAATGAATGATTGAATAAATGATCGATTTAATGCATCATTAATGAATTGGAAATAATTGACTATGTCACTTGATCCTAAAAATATTCCTCCAAGGAATCATTAGCACTCCCTGGAAGATTTTTGAAAAATGATACCCAAGCCCCAGTTAAACTGAATTCAGAAAATCTGGGAGAGGGGCTTAGCCATTAGAATTTTTTAAAGCCCCCAGATAATTGATTTTAAAGTATAAGAAGTCTGTGAGACACAGTTCTATATATTCAAAAGTGAGGCTAGAAGACAGCATTACCTGAAAGTTGTTAGAATTCAGAATCTTGACCACAAGCTGGACGTACTGAATCAGAACCTGCAGTTTAGCAAAGTCCCCAGGAGTTGTGTATGCATGATTAAAGTCTGAGAAACACTGGATAGTCAGAGTTGCTTTTTATCCTGTGTGGCACTTCAGTACATTTGGAGA